CCTCTTTCCAAATTCAGGGCCACCTTCCTGCAAGCATTGACTACTTCGCTGCTTTTCAAGCGTTCGGTAGCCCAGGTCAGCAGGCAGGCGTTATTGCTCTGAAAGGAACATAAAGCTTTAGGTTCACGTCAGGCAATCGATGCATCACCAACTCCAAACTTAATTTTTAAAGCTCTTGGCTCCTGGAGCGGTTGAATTAATATTTGCCATCAGCCGGAGGAATGTACATTTGAACTGTTCTTGCACAAGCATATTGGAAATAGATATACAGAGGTACAGTGGAAAACAGGCAGAGATTTGGCAGTAAATCATTGCTAACGGCCTGTCCAACCCTGCGGATGCTGAGCGGTCACCGGTATCCGCGCCGTGCCTTGGCGTCATGAGCCCGATCCTTCACGGGGAGGGAGCCGGGGCAATGGATGGGATGAATGAGTCTGCACCGTATAGGATTTTCCTGTGACTGTAGCCAGAGAGAGCGTGAGATTAAAGTAACTTTTAAGATGAAATAAAAAAAAAAAAAAAAAAGCCAACCCTTGAGTCAGAAGTATTTGTTTTATTTAAAGCTCTGGGTGCCAGACCATCTCGTTAATGCCTCGTGAGGCATCTTTGTATGACCGTATGTTGAATAGCTCTTAGTCCCATGTAAGGATTAAAGTATATTTATGGGAATGGATAGAACAGAGTTCAGCAGCATAAAATTGAGGTGTGGATCGTAATATGTGTGGCAAGCAGAGCCTTAATGTAAAAGATGATTATTTTCTTTTTTTAAATAATATCTAGAGGCAAAGTCTCTTTTCTTCTTCCCCTTAGGCGTCCTTGTGAAAAGGGGCACACTGGTGCCCCTGGGAGAGGAACACCCTGCTCTGTCTGTATATAATATACGTATAAATGCATTTTCTTAAAAAAAAAAAAAAAGCCAGAGAAACTGCGCCTTGGTTTTTTTCTGTCCAAGTTTATCACAAATAACTGAATTCAAGTGGTTGGGCTCCCTGCAGGGAGCCCGCTGGCTGCCTGTTTAAAGGGCTTACTAATAGGTCTATCAAAAAAAAGGGGAAGAAGGGAACAGATGCGTTTGGTTTTCCTCTCCCGAGGGGACATCTGAAGTGCCACCTGGATTAGCCGCGCGGTTGTGATCAGATTATAAACTAGGTGTAAAAGCTGCACTCTCTTCTTTCCCAGAAGAGCAATATTTGATGTAACCTATGCTGACTTAGACGCGAATGGCAATGTTTCCAATTTCATTTTGCTTTTCTTCCCTTTCAGTGCCCAGCGCGATGCCTCAGAACGTCTCCTTGGAAGTGGTTAACTCCAGGGTAAGTCGGCCACGTGCTCGGCACCTCATGGCCAGCGATCACGGGTATTTGTGTAGCTCTTCCTACTTTCTGTAGCTTTTTCGTATACAAAGAAACCCAATCTGCCCCTTGCAGAACATTCCCTTTGCCTGTCCAGGAGATCATGTGAAAATAAGAATTGAAACAGCCCAAAAATGTTGTGGAGAGCAGCAGTGATTTTTTTTTTATTTATTTTTTTTTTTTCCCAGAGAGGCTTCAGCAACAGCGGTATCGCTTAAACTTAGGTGAACAAGCAGAAACTGTTCCCTGATTGCAGATTAACATCGGCAATAAACGTAACTGCGCTTTGATTAAATGGAACAATCTCAGGGAATAATGAGAAGCAGAGCTGTTCCCGGGGGGGGGGAAAGGAGGTGTGGGAACGAAATATTTTATTGGCAAGGTTACGTGCACCACGTGCAGGTAGGTCTGTTGGCATCTGGCTTGTTCCAACAAAACCATTTCTGGTTTCTTCGGAAAGGTTCGTTTCTTTCCCTGAAGTCCGCTACTTTCCGTCTTAAAAAAAAGTTTTAGGATTTCCATATCGCCGATGAAAGGGTTGATATTGTTTCGTAATATTGTATGTAATCGGTGTTAATTATGCTTACTACTTGTTGGGTGCTATTTCTGGATATATTCTGAAAAAATACTGAGACTATTTTCTTTTTATCCATTCCTTTCCCTTTACTTGGAACTACATAAGCGTTTAGTCTGTAGCTGATTTCAATGGTAGGCCCATTTGGACACGGAAAAGCTCCGGAGCATGACAAAAAGGCCCAAACCCCCCACCCGTAGCCTCATGTTAGAACCTTGGATCTTTGGAGATTTCCATCTGCACAGCTACCAAGGAGTAGGAATCCCAGGCTCACTGAGGACAACCTGCAATTTAAGGAACATTTATATTATCTCTGATTTGCTGGGCACACCAAGTCCCCGTCGGTTTGATCTTTCTCTTCCACTGCTCGTTTTCATGACAGCGAATGTATATTCTGGTTTATTTATTTATTTTTAACGCACCCGGCTCCCGTTACTTTTAAATTCCTCTTGCGCGTAGCACCCAAAGGGCATTGCTATCTTGGCACGTCTCGTTCCAACCCTTGGTGTTTACTTTTTCGTGCTGATTCTCAAGGTAAAATGTCACAGAGCAGCCGATCACCTGTTGTGACCTTTTTGTGATCATTTACATTTAAAGTACTTAGAGCAAAAAATAGAAAACAAGCTTGCAGGATACAACGTGGCGTGGCATCGTGTGTGCGTGCTCCTAAGGCTAAGATGTGTTATTGAGTTATTGGTACTTGCAGCTGGAGATGGTTGATACAGATGGGATAAGAAAGGATGGGCTGTGCGGAAATCTCGCCCCTATCCACCATCGTCCGTGGTCGTCAGTATGTTCCTAATCAGAGCACTACGCGCTGGAAGTCTCGATGACATATTAATTTGCAGATATAAGTGCTTTATTGGACAAAAATGGGTTTACACGTTCATCTGGGTGTTTGGCTGAGCTGCATTGTGCAGGGCTGCTGGTTCCTGGTAGGCAAAAGAAATGCCTCTCGGTTCTCCTCTATGTGACCAAGCTGGAGAACTACACCAGGGTAACGCGGGGACTTCTCCATCGCCCGTAGATTGAGGCAAGGGTGGCCATGGGCAGGTGGAGTCTGCCTTTACTTTTTTTTCCCTCCGCTCCAAAACACATCATCTGCACAGAGGGAAGGGGCTGCCCAAGGAAGGGGTCGAGTCCCCATCCCTGGGGGGATTTAAAAGCCGGGCAGCCGAGGTGCTGAGGGCCAGGGTTTGGGGGTGGGATGGCAGGGGTAGGAGAGCGGTTGGGCTGGGGGATCTGAAAGGGCTTTGCCAACCTAAACGATTCTGTGATTGTATGATCTGGGACCTTCCAAAGCATCCCCTGTGCCATGCAGAGCATCCGTTTCTAAGCTGTCAAGCTGGCACCATATGTGACGTGATAACCATCAAAAGGTATTTTAAGGGCATACGTATGAAATGGGGATCTTGATCGGGGACAAGAAGAGACGTGGAACTGTTTGGGACTCTTTTGGGCTGTATCCTACAGGTAACGTGGACATAGGAAGGCAGCACAGATAGCCGTATGTGCTAGCAACTCTTGATAAAGCTTGAATAGAATTTAAATCTAGGTAATTTGGAACAACAAATACAGAAATGAACTAGACTCACTAAATCTGAAGGAATAAAAAGGTTTTTTCAAGCAGAAGAATCAGCCTCAAAGACCAAGCCCCAAAACACCTTTGCCCATTTTTTTTTTTCAGTACAACTCCCATAGCATCCCGTGGCTCAACTAAACTCCGAATGTCGTAAAGAGCTGAATGCAGTCTCCCGCTCGCCTAAAAGGCTGCAATAACCCAGAAGATTGTATTTCTGCAGTCCATTTTTTATCATGTTCTTGCTTTTCTTCTGTCTTGGCAGCAGTCAGAATTAATTTGATTAAACACAATTCACAAACTGATTGAACCACAACAAATAACTAGCCCTCATGGTTTGCTAACTGGGTTTGAGTGGTGCACAGAAGAGCCCAAAAACTGGCCTTGGCAGTTCCCAGAATTGTTTAAAATGTTATCTCTAGTTTAATACGATTTCTCTCTTTATTCTATTTTTCTTTGGCGGTGGCAGATCTATTAATTTAATAACATAACAGCGATGGCCCGGCAAATGGAAGATGCTTGATATGAATTACTATTATCATGATTATTGCTTAATATTGATGGTGTTCGGTGACGGGAGACCTCGGTCAGATCAGAGTTGATAACGGGGAGGACTGCGGCAGAAATACGGGTCCCTGCCTAAAAGAGATTTCATTGTAAAATGCAACGCACAAGTGGCTGAGACCAGTAAGCGGGCAATTCGGTATCAGAAGCCGGCAAAACGCGTAGGGTGCTTGCTCAGGGATTTAATTAGAGTTAGACGATGAATGCTGACTGTTTTTTCAGAATAACCACGATTGGCCTCTCGGGAGTAGATGACCAAGAGTTAACTTTTCATTAATTTAATGAAAAATTGTTATGGCAAACTTTCTGCGTAATTCGAGGTCCTCCTGGATTTTCTTCTCGTGGTTAATCAGGTGCAGCGTCCAGTTTAGCCAAAGAGCGCCGCCATGGGAGGGGTATGCACGAATGCGTCCGAATGGCTGTGTTGGCATGAATTTCTGTGCCTAAACCAAATTCAACACACAAACTCAACCCAGCCCTTTTTTGTCCTTGTTTTTTCATAACGTGGCTTGTTTCTAATAAGAAAGAAGAGATTTATTTTGGATTTCTTTTGTTTAAAAATATCCTCCGTTGCTTAAGGGAAAAGGACGTGTACAACGCTTAATAGGTCAATGGAGTTTCGCCCAAGAAATCTCTGCATCAACAGCTTCTCCTTGTGGCAGAAACACTGTGGCAATTGCCACATTTTGACCAGAAGAGGAGGTCAAATAGAGGAAACGTTTTTGTAGCAGGCTTTTAGAAAACAACAAAAGTGTAAGACCTGCAATTCTAAGCTAAACTAATTATAAGAAGTTATATCTTTTAAAAAATAATGTTGTTTGGTTTTTTTTAAAACTTTAACCTGTTGAAGTTAAGAGAATGAGGAGATCAGAATTTTGCTGTAGCTGTGGAAGCAAAACCAACAAAAAATATTCTTATTTTGGGGGAGATCCGAGGGACCTAAACTCTTTGGAGCTGGCGTACGATTTCTTGCATGAAGGCAACTGTTTGTGGCTATTTATGTATTTGTTTACTTCTTTGCTTCCTTGCTTTAAATATTGGTGTGGTTTTAATTTCTGTAATTTTTTAGGTACATGTTGCTAATTAGCAAATCTGAAGCAGGGAAATAGCTATCCGATTTATCTAATTAAAACTGCAGGCAACTTTATTTCTTCTTCCCATTTTCAAATACAGCGAAGAGTGAAGAAATAACTGTACTTAACAGGAGGAACAAAATTCCTTTGGTCATAGAATCTTAGAATGTTTTGGGTGGGAAGGGACCTCCAGAGGTCACCCAGCCCAACCCCCCGGCAGGAGCAGGGACACCTTGAACCACATCAGGTTGCTCACAGCCCCGTCCAACCTGGCCTGGAATGTTCCCAGGGATGGGGCCCCCACCCCCTCTCTGGGCAACCCCTGCTAGGGTTTCACCACCCTCATTGGAAAGAATTTCTTCCTTAGATCCAGTCTAAACCTCCCCTGCTTCAGTTTAAAGCCATCCCCCCTTGTCCTGTCACAGCTGGCCCCACTAAAAAGATTGTCCCCACCTTTCCCATGGGCCCCCTTGCTAATCAAGCCCGGGCCTGGGGGGTTTAGTTGTGGCTGGCTGGCCTAAGGCTGAGATTGACTTTGGGCCTGGCCCAGCCAAGGGTGGATTGTGGTCAGCAACACATCAGCTAACTCAATTTTTAATTACGTGCAAACATCTTAATGTTTTGTAACGAAGAACGGTGCCTAAGGTGATGCAGAATATCTGAGGGTGGGGTAGGTACCTGGGAGCTAGCTAGACTTCTCTTAAATCACATGATTTTTTTTTCTGTTGTTTCGCTGTCCTTTTTCTAAATTATTTTACCCAAAGGATTTAGGCACTTGAGGTTGGGCACCTGGCTGCCTCCTGTCATAGGCAACCTATGGGGCATTTTACATTAACCCATATTTGCTAGTCTGTGGCCAGAGAGGATCTGCTGATGGGACCTAAAGGAAACTCTTGTCAGGAGTTCTCCATCATCTACACATAGGTTTGCCACTCAGCTGGAAAACATTTAGCGGTCTCCAAATTAAAGTCGTCACCAAACTATCAGCTCTTTCATAGAATCAGAGAATGTTTAGGGTTGGAAGGGACCACTAGTGGTCATCTAGTCCAACCCCCCTGCAGCGAGCAGGGACACTGCCAACTAGATCAGACTGCTCA